CGAGGCGACGTTGTTTTAGGTGAAACGGAAACGTGCGTTCGTGATTTTGACACGTTTCGGAACGCTTTGCGACAAGAAGAAAGATCGTTGCCAATTGCAATTTTATATATTTTTTTATTTTATGTAGATATATTGATATAGATATTATAAATTATATAGATATATAATTTATAATATATGTATTATTTATATATATATATATATTGTATTTATATAATTTATAATTATAAATATAATGTAATACAATATAATTTGTAATTATAGATATAATATAATACAATATAATTTATAATTATAGATATAATATAATAAAATTTATGAATATAATCATTGTAATATTTAATATTTATAATATTACAATATTTATAAAAACTTATAATTATAAATATAATATATATATATATATAAAATAAAAAAAATTGATAAAGAGTGATTTTTTTCTATGAAATACAATTTTATAACGAACCATTTATGATAATTATCGAAACAGCCAGAAAACTCCGTCAATTTTCTTACAATTTACTTCAAGTTCACAGCGAACGCGTTGCTCGTACGTCAAGTACACTCGTCGCGGCATCGAAATAATTAGCCGCGCAAGTGTACGTTTCTCAGAACGAAACGAAACGCATCCGTCCTCAGACTCAAAGTCATTTCCTTTTCAATCATTGTCGAACAACGCCCATCAAGGATTCGATGAGAATTATTCCTGTTTTTTTTTTACCGTATCTGCTACACAGAGTTTTCAATACTTTAAAGTAGCGTGTCTCACTGAAAGATTGTTATCTCTTCCGTACACTTTTACCGGTGCATGGAATATTACTGTCGTATCGAAGGATCGTTACTACTTCTTTCTGGAACTGCAGCACGGTCGAAAGTTTCTTCCGCGCGAGAGACACGCCTCGTGGAAAATCCATCCGGGGAGACCTTGCCTCGCTGGGAAACTTTCTTTCGTCGAGAGACTCGTCGCTTTGCACTTGGAGAAGGAGCTTTCGTTCGATCGAACGCCCGCTTCAGGGACGCCTGGCCCTCGCCTCGGCTCGTTTCGCCGGTAATAAAGCGACTAATTAAACGACCTCGGTTGAGGTTACATCGACAGGTGGTGGCGTTGGATTATGCATTCATCGTCTTCTTGGGGAATCTTCTTCTCGTCCCTTCGACGCTTTTTCTTTCTCAAACTCCGAACTATCTTGTCGTATCGGATATCGGGAGTCGCGAATATTTAGAATCACGTAGCGCGGCGTCACGCTGTCTATTTTTTTAATTTTTAGCTTCGTCGGTAATCTCTGCGAGAGAGAAAAATATGAAATAAAGTTAAATTTACAATAGATATTGAGCGCCATGAAAATTTAGGCTTCGTAGCGTCACTTTGGTCTATTCTTGAATTTTGGAATTTTGGAATTTTTAGTTTCATCAATAATCCCTGCGAGAGAGAACAAAAAATATGAAATAAAATTAAATTTTTATAAATTAACAATAGATATTGAGCGTCATGAAAATTTAGGCTTCGTAGCGTTACGTTGCCTATTTCTGAATTTTGGAATTTTCGAATTTTTAGTTTCATCAGTAATCCGTGCGAGAGAGAACAAAAAATATGGAATAAAATTAAATTTTTTATAAATTAACAATAGATATTGAGCGTCATGAAAATTTAAGTTTTCGTAGCGTCACGTTGCCTATTTTTGAATTTTTGAATTTTGGAACTTTTAGTTTCATCAATAATCCCTGCGAGAGAGAACAAAAAATATGAAATAAAATTAAATTTTTATAAATTTACAATAGATATTAAGCGCCATGAAAATTTAAGTTTTCGTAGCGTCACGTTGCCTATTTTTGAATTTTTGAATTTTGGAATTTTTAGTTTCATCATTAATCTCTGTAAGAGAGAGCAAAAAAATATGAAATAAAGTTAAATTTTCATAAATTAACAACAGATATTGAGCGTCATGGAAATTTTGGCTTCGTGACGTCACGTCGCCTATTTTTGAATTTTTGAATGTTTATCAGAAAGATTTCATCAGTAATCTCCGCCGGAGAGCAAAATACGAAATAAAATTTTTATAAATGTTTTTCACGCTGTCGAATTTTCGACTTTTTAATTTCATCAATGATTTCTGCGAGAGAGTATACAGAGTTTTAAATAAAATTAAATTTTTATAAATTTTTTTCATCCACGATATTATTACTCGAAGGTTGAATGACTTAATCCTCGGAACATCGATTTCGGAAATATTACACACGGATTTATTTATTTTTTAATATAATAGAAGACCCGACAAAAATTTGATTAATAGAGATTAATACGTTTTCGTTCCGACTGCGAATTGACGTAAAAGTTTGATTTAATTTATTCGTTTCCTTGGCTCGGAGAAAGGTGCGCGTTTTATCTAAACAAGCTTCGTTCACCTCTTAATTATTCAGAGATAAATTGAGTTAGAAGAGTTACGCGCGTACCTTGACAAAATGACACGTTTGATTAATGTCCCGTGTACACAACATTAATCAAAAGACAAGTCTATCGAGCGTCGATGCTTTTTCCACTGAAACAACGAAATATTTCCCGACCATCTGTTTATGTTTCGTTTTTTTCATTGTGTTCGGGGAATATATAAATTTACATACTTGCTAGCTTGCTACTTAAAACAAGACTAAGCGGAATGCTGTGTGTCTTTTCTTTTTACAAAATTATATCAATTTTTCGTTGTCATTTTTAGTTGTGCCGTATTAAATCATCACAGGGCTGAAAACGAAAGCTGCGTGGCAACGTTAACATTAGAACTACCAAGGATTCAAGCAATTTTTCAAGGAATTTTCATTAGAGATATTACAATGAAAAAAATAGAAATAGAATTTTATAAAGAATCTAAAAGTACACCTATATGTTCAACTATATGTTCAAAATACGCCTATTGCATCTGTAATATATCTAAAAAAAAAGTTATGAATTAGTCATTTTGACCACTTTGGTAGTTCCAGTGTTAAAGACAAATATCCTCAACCTAAATAATCGAAACAGTTTTATTTCATTGTCTGCACGTCGAGAATTTTTTGTCCCAAGATTGCAATATTTTCTCACAATCAGTTTTAAGTATATTTAAATATAACTCGGGCAAAACAAATAAGAAATTTATTACTTCTCAATAATTTCTATCCAGTGATGTCACACCGACGAGCTCGAAAGAAGAAGAAAGCGACGAATTATTGTATACGGCACGGTCACTCGTTATGGTCCGCGAATCAGTTGCCAGCACAAGTGGTTGAATTGCAAGTTTCTTTTTGAAAAGTCAGTTACTTTATTACCAATTATTAATTTAGTTAATATTAATTAATTGATGAGCAATAATATTAATAGAAGTTTAATAATAATATCGACAAAAGTAACAATAATTAAATATTAATAGAAATATTTAGAAACGATGTAAATGATAAGCTTATTATTTCTTGACAATTTCTATCCAATGATGTCACACCGACAAGCTCGAAAAAGAAAAAGAAAGCGACGAATCATCGTCATACGGCACAGTCACTCGTTATGGTCCGCGAATCAGTTGCCAGCACAAGTGGTTGAAATGCTAGTTTCTTTTTGAAAAGTCAGTTATTTCATTACCAATTATTAATTTAGTTAATATTAATTAATTGATGAACAATAATATTA